GTATAAATATACCACAGCTTCTTTATCCAGTCATCTGTCGATGGACATTTAGGTTGCTTCCATGTCTTGGCTATTGTATACCATGCTGCTATGAACATTGGGGTGTATCTATTCAAGTTAGAGTTCTCTCTGGATATATACCTAGAAGTGGGATTGCTGGATCTTATGTTAAGTTTGTTTTTAGTTTTTTGAGGACTCCCCATAACATTTTCTATAATGGCTGCACCAAACAACATTCCTACCAGCAGTGTAGGAGGGTTCTGTTTTCTTCACACCCTCTTCAGCATTTATCATTCATGGACTTTTGAATACCTCATTATAGTTTTGATTTGCATTTCTCTGATAATTAGTGATATAGAGCATTTTTTCATGTGCCTATTGGTCATTCATATGTCTTCATTGGACAATTGCTTGTTTAGGTCTTCTGCCCATTTTTAGATTGGGTTGTTTTTTTCTTAAGTTGTATGAGCTGTTTATATATTCTGGAAATTAAGCCTTTGTCAGTTGCATCATTTGCAAGTATTTTCTCCCATTCCATAGGTTGTCATTTTGTTTTGCTTATGGTTTCCTTTGCCGTGCAAAAGCTTGTAAGTTTAATTAGGTCCCATTTGTTTATTTTTGCTTTTATTTCTATTGCCTGGGTAGACTGCCCTAGGAGAACATTGCTAAGATTTATGTCAGAGAATGTTTTTTGCCTATGTTTTCTTCTAGGTGATTTATCGTGTCTTGTCTTATATGTAAGTCTTTAAGCCATTTGGAGTTTATTTTTGTGTATGATGTGAGAGAATGTTCTAACTTCATTGATTTACATGCTGCTGTCCAGTTTTCCCACACCACTTGCTGAAGAGGCTCTTTTCTCCATTTATATTCTTGCCTCCTTTGTCAAAGATAAATTGACCATAGGTCTGTGGGTTTATTTCTGGGCTCTCTATCTGTTCCATTGAGTCATGTATCTGTTTTTATGCCAATACCATGATGTTTTGATTACTGTAGCTCTGTAGTATTGTCTGAAGTCCGGGAGGG